AGGGACACAGTAGGGATTCATGATCCGACTATTGCAATGAACTTCTCGGTGCTCATTCAGGAGAATCTATCTTGTATCGCCACCCAACTAATTCAGGTTTGACTTCGACTTTTTTGGATGGGTCAGTCTCAAAAATATAGATGCATGCCCCTCATATGGCTTAGATGGATATTCTTTTGTGAGTCATATTTGGACTTAGATGCCATTTCATTTCAAAGGAACATTCGCGTGTACTTATTATTTATATTTGGTTTTTTCATATTGCATAATACTTCTTGATGTGAGATACATGACCCGACCCGCAATTACGCAATAATTTAGCTTCCAAATTATGACAAATAACTTGGCCCAATTTATATTTTGCTGCTAGTGTGTGAAATCAATAAGTTATAAAATTTTAAAAATAATTTACACACTAGGGGTACTACATAATTATACGTATCTTTTCAAGTAATATATGACTTTTTTTAAAAACCCAAGTATCGATCCCATAAAGAAGCGAGGTAAGAAATCCATTAGGCTAATTCTAGTATATTAATATTAGTTTTTAGTTTGGAATTTTGATTTAAGCGGTTTTTAACTACTCATAAACGAAAATATTAAATCTAAGATCTAACAACTACTCCTAAATGAAAATATTAAATTTAAAGATAACCTTTTCTGGATGAATTAGTTTGGAGAATTTTAAGATGTTAAAGACTGTTATTCTTATGTAGCGAATTGGATAATGTAAAGGAATGAGATACATTAAATATTAATACAAAGAATTCCATATCGCCAATGACAATAGGAACAAAATTGATAGAAATCTAGCTTGTCACCCTAACAAAGAATTCAATATCGCCAATGACAATAAGAACAAAATTGATAGAAATCTAGCTTGTCACCCTAAAAACAACCAATTTACACCCATTAACTAATATTTTCTTAAAATTGCATTTAATGTGGAAAATAGAAGCATACCTATTCATTATCCTCTTTACGAACGACAAAGAACATTAGTTAATCCAAATTTTGGTCCCTAAATTTGTGGTTAGGCTAGGAAAATATTGGTTGTCACTTCAGAGTTCCCACATTCCCCTCACCTGAGGGCTAATTTCTCGCTTTAGTTTCTAAACATCTGGACCAAATTAGTGATATTTGTCCATCACCCTAAAATCATCAATTATGCGCCCATCAAAGTTTATTTCCCTATTTATTTACACTCAACCCCATGAACATGAAATCAAATGTGGTTCCACTTTGTTGAGAATTATACCGACCTCTCGAATCTTAATGCAATTACGAAAAATTTTAACATTATAATAGTCCTAAATCGTAATTTAAATGAAGTTCAAGTACCATCACATTTATAATCAAAACCTATTCTAACATTCATCCCAAAATCCTAAACATGAATCCTACTCTTGCAAAAGAAAAGTAAATTAAAAATAACGATGTAATCTACTCATGCCACTATTTCCTAACAGGAAAAAGAGTAAGAAAAAGTACTGTAAAAGCACGAAGATGACACATTGGAAAACTTCATTACATCAAAGCAAATCCACTAGAGAAGTGTTTACAAAATCATAAGATAATGAATATCGTAATACTTAGTTTTTTTTCCGTTGAAAGAAAGATAAGATCTCCCTCACAAAATCTCTCACTAATTCATGCAATTCTAGTACAATTTCGTACATTTTCTCTCAAAATCTCCTCTCCAATCTCTTCAAAAAAGGTAAAAATCTACATGTCTACTCCTATTCTAAGATATCCAAGCATTCCTCTCTACACTCATTTAAAAAATCTCTCTAAAAATCCCCCTCTAGACTCCTCATGAGAGGCGTCAAGCCCCTCCTTTTAAAGAGATACAAAACACCTCCTTCTCCCAAGAGACATATTTGTTCACTCTAAGAGACACACATCTTCACTCCAGGAGACACACCACTTCATCCAAAAGCCTTTCCAAGTGTCTAGATTCATTGAACCACTCCATGGGGCGTAAAAGTTGTTTAGAGTCTTTCAAAACATCCCAGAATAGCCTGAAATCTTCAAAATCTACTTCTTAACCATTTTTGGCACCTAAGCTCCAGTTTTAGGCACCTAGACGCCACACCGTAGGCAGCTCCACTGTTTTGCCCCATTTCGCTTAGTTTCACCCCGTTTATGTTTCATTTCACTTCAAATTGTTATACCTACAAAATAAGCATGAAAATAATATTTCTTTAAAGTGCAATTTCATTCAAAAATTTTTGATAAATGTAAAGGGTACTAAGTATAGAAAGACATCAAAATGTGTCAGGTCAAAATTTTCTTCCTTGGTCGTTTTGGCTCCAAATTACACCATTTTTGCTTTATTTTCTTCAAAATTCTATTTCTTGTACATAAAACTAATAACATGCAAAATACCTTCCTTTATAGTGTAATATCATTTAAAATGAGTATAATATATATATGAACAAGTAGTCATTTTTTTAGGTGTGTCAATACATTTGCATTTTTTGCCTCTTATGGAGTATCTTGAAGAATATTCAAAGTACTCATTAGGAGGTGTGGCACTAACAAACCTTTATAAAGATTTTAAGCTTGCTACAAGGCCTGGGAGAGTTAATATGGTAGTGTGTTTACACCTTTCACAAATTTGGAGCTGGGAACATGTTAATGTTGGTCATTCAGCATTACATGTACCATATCCTCATAACTTGGAAGGAAAAAGCCTAGGATTCAGGTCTGCATTATTTAGTAAAGTGTTTAAACAACTTTTAATGTTCATTTACTTAATGTCACTTATAAGTGGAATGAGCAAAGTGTCCATGAAATTCCTGTAGCCAATGTAAGAGTATATATATATGATATTGATGGTTTCTTGAGAGCGAGGTTAGTGCACATTAATTTGTGATTATAACATGTTTTGGTGCTCCATCATTATTGATATACAACGTGCATAATTCAGTCATTTCATTTTAAGGTAGTATGAGAGTCATACAACCAGTTTGATATCAGTACAAGTGGTTGAAATTTGCGCCATAGGATAGGATATATGTAAAACTTGAGTCCCATTGATCTGTTGGCAGCGTGTTGAGTGACACTTAATTGAGCATGTTATGAGACAATTTGGTGAGATTCATCAAATAGACATGGAGCCATTGGACTCAGGTTTCAAGCGTACAGATGGCAGAGGAAAGGCTGATTTGGACTGGGCTGACTTCCATCTGTCATACATAGAAATGTGGGGTAATTGTCCAGCTTGAGTTATTCACTATGAGAACACAAAAGTTGATGTGGGTCAATTTCATAGAGACTATATGCATTAGTACAGGTCATGGGCTTCTTTGTACTTACTTCAAACTCCAATTGAGGCTCCAACGACCTATTATCCGAGAGCATCGAAGAAGAGGATATTAGTATGCTTATGCATGTAATTAAATGTAAGTTTATGTTTACGACCCTAACCAATATCTATTCTTTTATATCAGCATCATTTTTCTTTAGGGCAAAGGAATTATTTCAACCAGCATTTGACGGGTGCGATGGCAGTTCATTACGAGAAGTGGTAGATGCACTTAAGGGTTTGTGTAGAGATGTTCGTCGAAACATATATATTGTCGATGATCATTATAACTTAGAGAACATTCCTGCACAACAATCTACGTCAGATACAGTAGAACTTCTTGGTATTTTATGTGTTGCACAACACACTTCTATTGATCCAAGTTCATCAACTTTTCACAAC